TTACACTGGAAGGGCGAACTCCCCGCTGTGACCTACGATACAAACAGCCGCCAACAAGCACCAGAAACAGCCTGGGGCTAATCCAGCTTTCATCACAATAGTGAGAAAATATTTAAGACTAGAAATCCCACAAACCAAGGAGCAAACCAAGACATTTTATCAACGGGCTGAAGGCAACAAACCTAAAATCTGAAGGAAGTCATCAGAGGAGATTTAGCCACAGGGCAGCGACACAAACGCTGACAGCAGGAGATGTTTGGACTCATTCCATCAGGTTACTGTGAATCTTTATACTTATTGAACTTTTCTTTAATGTTGGAAAAGCTTGAATTGTAGCTAAACAGGCTGCATGGTGGCGCATTGGGTAGCACTGCTGCCCTGCAGCAAAAAGGTTCCTGGTTTGATTCCTTTCTGCATGCAGTTAGATGTTCTCCCTGAGCATGCATGGGTTCTCTCTTAGGTTAACTGGCTTCTCTAAAATATCCTAAGGTGCGAGTGTGTGCGTTCATGATTGTGTGTCTCTGTGTTGCTTTGTGACAGACTGGCGACCTGTCCAGGGTTGACCCCGCCCCTCACCCATAGACTGCCAGAGAAAAGCACCAGACCAAAGATTACCCTAATGAATTAAGTGAGAGAAGATGAACGGCCGGAGCAGAGCCAGCATCTGTGATTAGTAACAATAACACGAAGCAGTTGTTTGTATGTTAATTGTTGAAGGTAACGGTTAAGCTGGGCGCACACGGTGCGATTTTTTCAATCATTGCACGAAGCTACAGCTGTACCCTGCCGTTACGTCCTATGATGATTCTCTCACTGTACGACCCGATGCTCTGATGCGATCTACCTTCTCACACTCTACGTCTAAAAACCAGGTGGGACTCAGCTCCGCAGTGAGATGGCGCTACTGGGACTCGTCTATCTGGAAGCCAAACCAGTAGCAGAGGAACATGAAGCTCACTAGAGTGAAACGCGCTGCCTTGGATATTTGGGCGATATAGTGCTGAAAGCCCTAAAAAGAAAAGGAGACGACGTATTTGGACAAAGACATGGCTGAGCTAACGTGGCTACTACGGTCTGTCAGTTTACAGAAAGAACTCCATTTCACTCATTGCCCCCCCGCCATGCTGCTGGGTTTTCATCTGAGAGGAAGAAGAAGAATCCTTGTTTGCCCACTGAGAGATTTGCCCACGACCGCCTTACGACGGCCGGCTAAAATACAAAAAAGTTAGATTTTTTCCCGACAGAGATTCCTGATGGGGGGGGGGTGGTCCTTAGAGGCTGATCACTAGTGACCCCCCCTGTTCACTACACGGTGCATCATTAGGCTGAAAGTCGCCCTGAAAAGGGTAAAAAATGGTAAAGTGTACGGCCGGCTTTAAGAGACACATTACAATAATAATAAGTGGAATGCTTATCAGGTTAACATGTCTGCTGTAGAAAACATTTACGTTAAGAACAAAGTTTATCTTTAATAAGTTTTAGTCTCTGATTGCTAAATACAGTCAATTTGTTCATTTGCTGTTAGAATAGATTTATTTCCGTTTATTGTGACCGACTTTTTTCTGTCTTCCTATTGTGACCTTATATTTAATGAAGAGGCCATGTTTAGGTAGAAATACTGACCAGTAGAGAAAAGTTTATCACTGCAAACAACAAAGAACTGATAATAACAGAATACTGGCCGATGCCTGAATCGAGGAAACCGGTTTGGACGTGAATAAAGTGAAATAATGCATCCCAACTAAAGACTGCAGGCTTGATTGAATCAAAAGGTTGCCATGACAACATCACTTTGCAGACAGGTTGTTTGTTTTTCAGTTGAAGCTTTCCTAGATGAGCTCCTAAATCCCTCCTCCTGCTCTAAGACGCTGCTCACGCACGCCTTGCTTCGAGGTCTCACCTGAAGCGTGAGGGGACTGCTCACTATCCAAGCCTGAAGCCAGCCTCTCAGCATTGGCCCCCAGGACCCCCATGGGCAAAGCCTGATCCCCAGAGGCCAGATCAGCCTCAAGTTCCTCACTAACAGGGAAGGGAATGTCACTCATGGGCTCCTCCTTAATCCTCAGAGGTTTGGAGTCTTCCAGAGCTTTCTCCGGATTCACCAGTCGCTCATATTCTTCTGAAAGCTCCTTCGTCACCTAGAATAAAAAAAAAAGATCTACTTTTGTGTCTGGTAGTTAAGAAAAAACAAAAGAGAGGAAAGGTTAGCTGTCCACAGCCTGACCTGCATCATGTGGCCGTGATAGTCCTTGATCCTCACTTGCCAGAAGCGCTGCAGGGACAGCATGCTGCCGATGCCCACCTCATGGAACACCTGCTCCACCACGTCCGGGAAGGGAGTGGCCCCCAGCCGAGCCTCGCGGTCCACCGCCACCCGCAGCAGCTGGGTGAGGCGCAGGTAATGTTCGTGGACCTGGTCAGTCAAGGTCTCCAGGACGCTTTCCTGGGCAGACTCAAAGCCAGCGTGAGCCAGAACTGTGGCCACCGACTGATAGAGGAGCTGCCTGCAGGACGGCACACTCAGCTCAGTGACGGGTTCACCTTTACCTCTGAAACGCAAATATGAGGTTCGTCTTCAGCGGAGCAACAAAACAGTCGTCTTCTGAAAGTATTCATAAACCTTAAACTTCATTAATATGTTGTAACATTACAACCACAGTTTTAATGTATTCTGATGGAATTTTCTATGTTAGACCAACAGAAAATAAAGTTTCACTGAAAGGAAAAAAAGAGTCATTGGTGAAATGTTTTAAATTATACATACTTGTAGAATTCACTCTCGGGGTCGCTGTGGCGAAGCTGAAAGGGCTGCTGGGGATCTTTGCTGTCTGCAGGAAGCAGATCATCAGGGACCGTAGGCGGAGTCGGAGGACGCTGCGGCAGGCTGGCTTCATCCTCCTCCGGCCGGCCCCCACCCTCGGTTGATGCCGAGCTCTGACCCTGACCCTGAGCTTGGGCCACTGCCAGGAGGGCACGCAAACGGCGGGCGTGCTGGCACAGCTGCACGGTGTGGATGGTGAGGCTGCACGGCTCGGAGGGGACGTCCAACATGGTGGTGGGTCTGGGACGTTGGGCCGAGGGCTGATGCAGGGGGGGGTCCTGCATCTCCACGGAGCGGAACTCCCGCTGGAGCAAGTCGAAGGAGCTGCGACTGGGAGGAGCCCCCGAGGGTCCGGGGATCTCACCCCAGTAACGCATCATCATCCAGTCACACCTGAGTCAAGAAGAGAAATAGTTCTATTATTAGCATTTAGGATATTTTTAAGCAAGAAAATTAGAGTTCAGATAGAGATAAAATGAAATATTAATATCAATAATCTTGAAATATTAAACATCCACAAACAACCAAACAAAGACAAATGACCATAGACCAATACGTGGATATGCAATGTCAATTTAAATATGACGGGATAGGAGGGCTGTCAGAGAAATTTAGTAAACAAACATCATGGTTAGGATCAAGCTACACAGCAAACCACCTGAACAAAACATCAACACTGATAAAGTTGGGGGGCCAGAAAGGCCTAGTCAAAGTTCAGATGTAAATGCAGTTGATCTCCTTTCAATCCAAATGACCCTTTAAAATAATGTAAAGCAAAGCTAGATAACTAAATACTTCTAGTTGCACTAAAAGGTGGTTCTACAACATATTTGCTCATAATAACCAACCACTGCAAATGCACAAACTTTTAGATTTTAGTATTTGTAAAACACATTAAAATTCATGCATCATTGCACCGATTGCTGCACGAAACAATCGGAAGCTTTAAATGATGATCAAAATGAAAGAGGCTTCACATTTAAGTCAACGGACGAAGAAAAATGATAAAACATGCCGATATGAACACCTTAAAATTTATTTTTGGACTTGAGGCAAACCGAATTATGGTTTTCCACTCATCCATTCATTTAAAATTAAAAATGAAACTATTGGGAATATTTTATAGGTGGACATCTTGAAGAATAGAAAAATGATCACATTATTGAATGGAGTTTGGTGCTGCAAAAAAAGAGGCAGAACGAATTCATATCATACATAGAAAACAAGCAGCTGAGCTAATATTTAAGCATCGGTTTAACGTCATGTTGTGATTATGTCGTCATATAACTGATAAATCTACAGAAAAGGCAGATTGGAACTTACTTTTGTATGATTTAAGCCAAAAGATGTTAAGCGTTGGACGGGAAGCTGGACGAACTAGCAGCTTTGAAAGATGTCGAAGTTCGCATCTGATTGAGAGTTTCCAAGCGGTTTCTTAAAGGGCCTTTCCGCAGCTTTTAGGAAAGCGGGACTTTTTAAAATCTAAAACACGTCAAATGTAAAATCCAATTTTTATTATTTTAAAATCCCTAAAATATTATTGCACGTTTCATTTAAAAAATGCACATTGTATTTTTAAAAGGTATCTTTAATACTGTTTAATTTGTTCAAACAGCCAATCAGGGTCCAGCTGATCAATAAAATCAATTTATTTCAAATAAAGCCACTCCAGAAAACTTTAAAAACAATTATTTGATGTCAAAAAAATCTAGAGAAAAGAGTCTTGACTTAAACAACGTGATCCAACTTTCTTGAAAAAATAAAGGATAAAAGAAATATAATAATTTACTTTTTTCTTCAATTTTGTGTAAAGTTTATATATTTCTAAATCCAAGTTTGAACAAATTTGATTAGATTTCAGGACAAATCATCCAAGTTCGTTAAATTTGAAACTAGAACTGATAAATCCTTAAATCTGCTAAAGTGGGAATTTAATTGAAAGCCCGACAAATAGGATACTAACTTCAGAGGTGTATCAATTTTATCTGTCCGTGCGTCTAAGGCTGTTTGCGCATTTTTGTTCCTCTAACTTACAAATTCAACTTTGATTGCAAATACAATTATTTCCATCCTGCTTAAAAGAATAAGTCTAAAGACGTTTTCTAAGAAGCCTTTTCCTCATTTTTGCTTTAATAAAGTAATTTGTTTTCGTTGTTTTTATTGGGCGCCTCTCCGGACATATTTCACAGTTGCACCAAATCAGCTCTGGTGATTCTTCGTCGCTAACCGGAGAGAGGGAACTATGGAGGGAGAAACGCAGTGTGGAGTGGAAGAGAAGGAGCAGTTGAACACTAAAGATGAGGAAACATGTGAAGAGAAGGAAGAAACCAAAACAGAAACCTTTAAAAAACCGGCTAAGCTAGCGGTGCCTTCGCTAGCTAACAGGCGCAACAACAGCGTAGCAGCAAACATGGAGGAGCAGCAGTGTGAGTCTAACGATGCTGCAGAGAGACAACAAGATGTGGCAAAGAAACAAGTCATGAAAATGAAGGGGACTCCTGTCAAAGCTGGGAGCTTCCCCCCTCTGCCCTACACCCAGCCCCCCTGGGGGGGCCCTACCCCAGAGGCTAACTACGCCCTGGAAATCCTGAAAAACGGAACGATAGTGGACACCGTCCCCCTCACACACCGGAGCTATTTCGTCGTGGGGCGGCTGCCGGTTTGCGATGTCCCTCTGGAGCACCCGTCCATCTCCAGGTACCACGCGGTGATCCAGTACCGAGGCCAGGCCGGGGAGGGGGGCTGCGTGGGGGAGGAGAGGGGCTTCTACGTCCACGACCTGGGCAGCACCCACGGCACGGTGGTCAACAAGAACAAGATCCCCCCGAAGACCTACGTCAGACTGAGGGTGGGGCACGTGCTGAAGTTCGGGGGGAGCAGCAGGCTGTTTATCCTGCAGGTTGGTCTCTGCTCCAGGCTCAGCTCTGACCCCCCCATGGGTCAGGATTAATGGCAAATAGTTTCACCATGGAGATACCTAATCTAGACACTAAATCACCTAATCAGATTAAATCTAAGACGAAATCAATTCAGGTCATTGTCATCCCATAAAAAGTTTAAAAATCAATCCTCTGGACTTTGTTTCCAAGTTAGAAGACGTTTCTCTTCCATCCAGGAAGGTTTTTCGATTAAAAATGTCAGAAATAGCGTTTAGTTCCAGGTTTTGCTTTGTTCTGCTCTATAAAGAACCAGACAGAGAGAAATCAGAACAGATTCAAAGAACTGAAGACATTCTTTGAAGGTTGAGTTCAGGAACAAACTTAGCATTTTCCTCTCCTACCTACAGTCAGAGAGACGTCCTTCATTCCTTATGATGCACCTCTGCCGTGCCCCCCCACTTCTATTCGCTTGGTTTCTGCATGTTTCTAAACCAAAACAAGGCTTTGCTTTGGTCCGCTCTATTAAACCTGGAACTAAACTCTATTTCTGACATTTTGAATTGAAAAACCTTCCTGGATGGAAGAGAAAAGCTTCAAACTTGGAAATAAAGTCCAATAAATTGTTTTCTAACTTTTATTTTTGGAATGACAATGACCTGAATGCCTGAGAATCTTCATCAGCAACTTGTTTGAATTTAAATCCAGTGAATGTTATACTTACTTTCTTTACAGTAGCTTTAATTAATGCGGGTAAATAAAGACAGAACTGCCCAGCTCCAGATGCTTTATCTCAGAATTCTATAATTATTGTTATTAAAAGCAAGTCTAACATTTCTGCTTTTAAATCCTCTTAAAGCGGGAACGGTGCACTTAGGCTTCTTTTCATGATTACATCGACTGTCAGAAAGTTAAATCCATGCAGTTCTCTATAGAAACTGTAGATGGTGTAAAGCTGCAGGCAACAGCTTTAGATTATTAAGCAGAGGTAATATCCAGGGTTGTTCCGTCTGCAGGGTCCAGAGTCTGATGAGGAAGAGGAGTCTGAGCTGACGGTGACCGAGCTGAGGGAGCGAGCCCGCAAACAGAGAGCGGAGCTGGAGAAAAAAATGATGGGAGAGCTTTCTGATGGGGAGGGTGGTGATGATGATGAGGAAGGAGAAGGCAAGAAGAGCCAGAGCCAATCCTCCAGAGAAGATTCTGGATGCTCGTGGGGAATGGGTGAGTGAATCTGTCCTTTATTGATGGAAGGGTGAAACTGTTCATCTGATACTCCTGCATCCATCCGTCCATCCATCCATCCTGCAGAAGAGGATGCGGCTCCAGAGCAAGATGAGAACGAGGAAAACCCCTTTTCTACAGAGTTCCAGGAAGACCAGGAGGCTGCTTACCTGAAAGACCCAAAGAAGGCGCTGCAGGGATTCTACGACAGAGAGGGTGAGTCCCTGAAGAGCCCGGCTGCTTCCTGCTCAGGAGTTACGTCTCCTGGTTAACCTGCTGTTTCTGTCTGCAGGCGAAGAGCTGGAGTTTGAGTATGAAGACCAAAACCATGGCACCTGGCTCTGCAGGATCAAGTAAGCCACCTGGAAAACTGGCTTCATGAGTTTTCTATAAAAGATGTTTAATCTTTCTAAACGATGCTCATCAGGCTGCCAGTGGACGACGCGTTGGGTCGACAGCTGGTGGCAGAGGTGAGCCACACGGGGAAGAAGAAGGAGGCGGCCGTCCAGTGCTGCCTGGAGGCGTGTCGGATGCTGGAGGCTCGAGGTCTGCTGAGGCAGGAAGCAGGTGAGCGCTGAAAAACCACACAGGGATTCTCCTCAGACTCTCCTCTGAAAGCCGCCTTTTGGTTTCAGTTTCACGCAAACGAAAGCAGAAAAACTGGGAGGACGAGGATTATTACGACAGCGACGATGACACCTTCCTGGATCGGACCGGCACCGTGGAGAGGAAGAGGCAGGAGCGGATGAAGAAGGCTGGGAAGATCGAGGAGCGGACCGAGACCTACGAATCTTTGGTAAAAAGGACATGAAGCTTTACAATCAGGGAATTAAAAGAAAAGGAATGTCATGATAGAGAGAATCAAAGCACATCAACAGAAGCTTTAGTGGAAGATTTCCCCAAATTTTAATCATCGTCTAGTTTATTGAGAGGCATTGTATATCATCTTTAAAGGCCATTAATGCTAAAAACAAATCTATTACTTCAGTAGCTGTTATTTTCACAGCGTTTAACTTTTGGCCAATAGGAGCTCTAGATCTGTAACTTTCCCGTCTAGCGCCCCTAGTGGCCACGAGCGCGCAGCACTGGTGCAAACGTAAACGACCAGTCAGCCGGCCAGCCTCGTGTGTTTTTAATGGGGACAGCGCGAGGTGTCTAGGCTCAGCTCGGAGGGTGTGAGAAACGCTGCTGCTCTGTGGAAAGCGCCGCCAGGACAGGTCGGACCGCGGCCCCGCCCAGAGGACCAGAGGAGGCGCTGCAGTGCAGAGCCACTGGGTGGGACACGGCGTCTCCGTTACCATAGAATAGAATTCAGCTTTATTGTGATTAAACTGTCACAAGTATGAAGCAATGAAATTCCCTCTCTGCATTTAACCCCTCCCCTTGGAGAGCAGTGGGCGGCCATTGTGTGGCGCCCGGTGGTGGGGAGGGGGGGGTTAGTGGTCTGTGGGAGTAGGGCTTGAACCCAGAACCTGTGGAATCACGCACAATGCACTAGCCAGCAGGCAACCGCCACCATTTAGCAGGCTGCTATCTTCCTCTGTCTGTGTTTGCTTCTAATAAACATAGAAATGAACAAAGATCTCTGACTGTAAACTGGGAGCAAAGTGTTAGCTTAGCCGTCGATTTGGTTTTACATCCGGCTTCTTCTTTCAGCTCCGAGCCTTTAGCGCTACGTCTGTATAACAGCCTGCAGCCATGAAGCGACACGTTCTTCCAGGTCACATGACCCGACCAACGACGGCGCGTCTTTCAAGAAGGGAGCACCGCCTGTAGCATGGATAGCGTTAAGCGCTGTATATTGGCCTGAGGAACCATTTAAAGACTGGTATGCGTCAGTCTGCAGGGTCACAGAGTCGGCGCTTTGCCTTTTTAAGGCGTAGGATGAGTTCTCTGAAAATGTAGATTAGAAACCCTGAAGTTGCCTTTTAAATAACTCCTCATTCCCCATCCTACTGCTCCTCCTTTCTCCTCCTGTGCTCCTGAGGAGGAACACCTAACCTGCATGTAGACGTCGTGCTCAGCTCTCTTTACCTTCTGTTTGCATCGCTTGAATTTTCATAGTATAAGGGAGCCTTCATGCTCCCTTTCAGCTGCAGAAACACGTGACAAAGCTCAGCCTGTCAGCATGTCACGTGTCACGAGAAGATGAGGTGATGATCCAGGAAGACTGAATCTGGAAGGAGATTCCTTCACTGCAGCGCCAGCAGCTCAGTGGAGTTTATTCTGTCCTCATCCTCACTAGAGACGCATCAGAAACTGTGTCTATTCCTTCAAGTTACTGTTGGTAAAAAACCAATAAAAATAAAACATAATAATAATTGTTTTTCTTTCATATAATAAAAAAACAACTAATTTAAATTTCTCATTGTTCTGCTCTAATACATTTTTATCTATTATACATCTAAAATCTAAACAGCAGAAAGTGTTACTTTATTTTAGGGCTGAATCAATGAATTGTGATCAATTGATTATTGAAATAATTGTCTGATAATTCAGTGATCGATTAATCATTAACTGGAGTATAGAAACTATAAAATATGCCTTTAGCTGACAGAGACGCACTTAGAGCAGGAATTATACCAACATGGGAAGCAGTCTGGTTTCATCCCTGCAGAAACCAGACTCTATAGCGCCACACTGTTTTCACGTTAACTAGTGCAATCTATAATGTGCAATTATTATTTAACACCCAGTGCAATTATATAAATACATATGTATATATATATGTAAATTCTGCTGTGATTTAACAGTTGAATAATAAAGACGGTGTAGATTTATTCTATTATGAGCTGGAGAACAGTCATTTTTCCACATAAATGTTTTGATTTGATCTGAAAGGTGATTAATCTCAGGTATTCAGTACCGTTCTGTTATTGATATTGCATTAGTGCACAGTTCAAAGGTCATAGTTTATGAAGCAGTGCGTTCTGCCGTCCTGCAGGTGGCCAAGCTGTCCTCGGTGGAGAAGGAGCTGGCGGACACTCAGAAAAAGCTCAACGCTGGTAAACAAGGTGCGTCATCTTCCACTGCGGACAGAAGACGCCTGGTCTTTAGGTCCCGCTGTGAAAAGCGCTCTCCTTTCTTTACGCCACTCAGGATCGTCAGCCTCCTGTGCCGAGGACTCGCTCGACGTTTTCATGACGGCGGTGAGGAGCGAGGCCGCTATGGACGCCGTGCAGCGCAGGAAGCTTCACATCCACGTAGCCGATCTGCGTAAAGAGGCCCAGAGGCTCCGTAAACTGGTTGACCTGACGCGGCCGGCCCAGATGCCCTCGCTGCTCCCCAGGTCACACGTCTTCCTCTAAGCTGGGAGGTTTGATTCCTGTCTGTTTATCAACCTTATAACTGTTGGTCATCTTATAGTGGAAGCTCTGAGGCGGAAAAACCCAAAAAAACCTTACCTCTGTTTGGAGCCATGAAGGGAGGAAGCAAATTCAAGCTGAAAACTGGAACCATCGGGGTAAGAGCTCCAAACACCTCCTCCTCTTTGCTCCTCTGCTCCTCTGCTGCTGCTGCTGCACAGCCTCTCTTCTCTCCTGTAGAAGCTGCCTCCCAAAAGGCCCAACCTGCCTGCTGAGCTCTTCAACATGAAAGAGCTGCCATCCACGGGGGAGGAAGAGGAGGAGCAGGAGCAGGAGGAGCTGGAACAAGAGGAAAAGGATAGGAAAGGAAAGGGATGGGGGAGGAGATGAGAAGGCGAAAAGGAGAAGAGAAAAAAGGCGGAGATAAATGCGAGCCCAGCGGTCCAAAGAAACGGTGAAAAAATCCGAGACCTGGGTTCCCTGAAGGAGCCACAGGAGGTCAAAGGTAAAAACAGCTGGAAAGTCCCGCTTCTCAAATGGGTTTAAAATTTTTTAAATCCCTGGTGGGGCTTTCCCCCGGTTGCTTTTGCTTTTCGGGTTTGGAAAGGGGCAAAGTTTTTGTTGGTAAAGGGGGGGGGTTTTAAAAAAGGGGGGGGTTTTTTTTTTTTTTTTTGAAATTTTTCCCCCCTTTTTTCCCCCCCCCCCCCCCCCCCCCTTTTTTTTTTTTTTTTTTTTTTTGCCCCCTTTTTAAAAAAAATTTTTCCCCCCCCCCCCCCCCCCCCGACCCCCCCCCCCCCTTCCCCCCCCCCCCCCCGGGGGGGGGGGGGGGGCCCCCCCCCCCCCCCCCCCCCCCCCCCCCCCAAAAAACCCCCCCCCCCCCTTTTTTTTCCCCCCCCCGGGGGGTTTTTTAAAAAATTTTTTTTTTTTTTTGGGGGGGGCCCCCCCCCTTTTTTTTTTTTTTTTTTTTTCCCCCCCCCCCCCCCCCCCCCCCCCCCCCCCCCCATTTTTTTTTTGGGGGGGGGGTTTTTTTTTTTTTTTTTTCCCCCCCCCCCCCCTTTTTTTTTTTTTTCCCCCCCCTTTTTTTTCCCCCCCCCCCCCCCCCCCCCCCCCCCTTTTTTTTTTTTTTTTTTTTTTAAAAAAAACCCCCCCCCCCACCCCCCCCCCCGGGGGGGGATTTTTTCCCCCCCCGCCCCCCCCCCCCCCCCCCCGGGGGGGGGAAAAAAAACCCCCCCCCCCCCAATTTTTTTTTTTTTTTTTTTTTTTTTTTTCCCCCCCCCGGGGCCCCTTTTTTTTTTTTTTTCCCCCCCGGGGGCCCCCCAAAAACCCCCCCCCCCCCCCCCCGGCCCCCCCCCCCCCCTTTTTTTTTTTTTCACCCCCCCCCCCCCCCCCGTTTTTTTTTTTTTGGGGGTTTTTTTTTTTTTACCCCCCCCCCCCCTTTTTTTTAAAAAAAAAAACCCCCCCCCCCCCCCCCCCCCCCCCCCCTTTTTTTTTTTTTTTTTCCCCCCCCCCCTTTTTTTCCCCCCCCCCCCCCCTTTTTTTTTCCCCCCCCCCCCCCCCAAAACCCCCCCCCTTTTTCCCCCCCCCTTTTTTTTTTTTTTCCTTCCCCCCGTTTTCCCCCCAAAAAAACCCCCCCCCCCCTTTTTTTTCCCCCCCCCCCCCCCTTTTTTTTTTTTTCCCCTTTTTCCTTTTTATTCCCCCCCCCCCCCAAAAAAAAAAAATTTTTTTTTTTCCCCCCCCCTTCCTTCCTTTTTTTTTTTCCCCCCGTTTTTTTAGTTTTTTCCCCCCCCCCCCCCCCCCCCCCCCCCCCCCCCGGCCCCCCCCATTTTTTTTTTTTTAAAACCCCCCCCCCCTTTTTTTTTTGTTTTTTTTAAAAAAATTTTTTTTTTCCCCCCCCCCCCCCTCCCCCCCCGCCCCCCAACCCCCCCCCCCCAAAAAAAAATTTTTTTTTTGGGGGGGGGTTTTTTTTTCCCCCCCCTTTTTTTTTTTTGGTTTCCTTCCTTTTTCTTAATTTTTTTTTTCCCCCCCCCCCCCCCCCCCCCGGGGGGGGGGGGGGGGGGAAAAATTTCCCCTTTTTTTCCCCCCCCCTTTTTTCCCCTTTTTCCTTTTTTTCCCCCCCCTTTCCCCCCCCCCTTTTTCCCCCCCCCCCCCCCCCCCAAATCCCCCCTCCCCCCCCATCCCCCCCTCCCCCCCCCCTTTTTCCCCCTTTTTCCCCCCCCTTTTTTTTTTTCCCTTTTTTTCCCCCCCCCCCCCCCCCCCGTTTTTTTTCCCCCCCCCCCCCTTTTTTTTCCCCCCCCCCCGTTTTTTTTTTTCCCCCCCCCCTTTTTTTTGCCCCCTTTTTTCCCCCCCCCCCCTCCCCTTTCCCCCTTTTCCCCCCCTTTTTTTTTTTTTTTTTTTTTTCCCCCCCCCCTTGGGGGGTTTTTTTTTTTTTTTTTTTTTTTTGCCCTTTTTTTTAATTTTTTTTTTTTTTCCCCCCCCCTTTTTTCCCCCCTTTCCTTTTTTTCCCCCTTTTTTTTTTTCCCCATTTTTTTTTTTCCCCCTTTTTTTTAAAAAATTCCCCCTTTTTTACCCCCCCCCCCCCCCGGGGGGGCCCCCCCCCCCCCCCCCCCCCCCCCCCCCCGGGGGTTTTTTTTTCCCCCCCCCCCCCCTTTTTTTCCCCCCCCCCCCCCCTTTTTTTCCCCCCCCCCCTTTTTTTTTTAAAAATTTTTTTTTCCCCCCCCCCCCCCGTTTTCCCCCCCTTTTTTTTTCCCCCCCCCCTTTTTGTTCCCCCCCCCCCTTTTTTTTTTTTTTCCCCCCCCCAAAATTTCCCCCCCCCCCCCCTTTTTTCCCCCCCCCCCCTTTTTTTCCCTTTTTCCTGGCCCCCCCTTCCTTTTCCCCCCCCCCCTTTTTTTTCCCCCCCCAAACCCCCCCCCCCCCCCCCCTTTCCCCCCCCACCCCCTTTTTTTCCCCTTAAACCCCCCCCCCCCTTTTTCCCCCCCCCTTTTTTTTTTTTTTTTTTTTTCCCCCCCCCCTTTTTTTTTCCCCCCCCCCCAAAAATTTTTTTTTTTTCCCCCCCCCCCCCCCCCCCCCTTTTTTTTCCCCCCCGCCCCCCCCCCCCCCCCTTTTTTTTTTTTTTTTTCCCCCCAAAACCCCTTTTAAAAAACCCCCCCCTTTTTTTCCCCCCCATTTTTTTTTTTTTTTTTCCCCCCCCCCCCCCCCCCCCCCCCCCTTTTTTTTTTTTTTTTTTTTTTTTTTTTTTTTTAAACCCCCTTTTTTTTTTCCCCAACCCCCTTTTTACCCCCCCCCCCCAAAAAATTTCCCCCCCCCCCCGGGGGGGGCCCCCCCCCCCCTTTCCCCCCCCCAAAAAAACCCCCCCCCCCCCCCCCCCCCCCCCCCTTTTTAATTTTTTTTCCCCCCCCCCACCCCCCCCCCCCAAAAATTTTTTTTTTTTTCCCCCCCCCCCCCCCTTCCCCAAAAAACCCCCCCCCCCAACCCCCCCCCCCCTTTTTTTTTTGGGGGGGGGGAAAAAAAAATTTTTTTCCCCCCCCCCCCCCCCCCCCTTTTTCCCCCCTTTTCCCCCCTAACCCCCCCCCCCCCCCCCCCCCTTTTTTTTTCCCCTTTTTTTTTTTTTTTAAAACCCCCCCCCCCCTTTTTTTTTTTTTTTTTTTTCCCCCCCCCCCCCCCCTTTTTTTTTTTTAACCCCCCCCCCCCCCCCCTTTTTTTTTTTTTGGGGGTTTTTTTTTCCCCCCCCCCCCCCCCCCCCCCCCCCTTTTTTTTCCCCCCCCCCCTTTTTTTCCCCCCCCCCCCCTTTTTTTTTTTTTTTTCCCCAAAAAAACCCCCCCCCCCCCCTTTTAAAATTTCCCCCCCCCCCCTTTTTTTTTTTGGGGGGGGAAAAAAAATTTTTTTTTTTTTAAAAAAAACCCCCCCCCCCCCCCCCCCCTTTTTTTTCCCCATTTTTTTTTTTTCCCCCCCCCCCCCCCCCCCCCCCCCCTTTTTTTTTTTTCCCCCCCCCTTTTACCCCCCCCCCCCCCTTTTTTTTTTTTTAAAATTTTCCCCCTTTTTACCCCCCCCCCCCCCCCTTTTTTTTTTTTGCCCCCCAAAAACCCCCCCCCCTTTTTTTTTCCCCCCCCCCCTTTTTTCCCCCCCCCCCTTTTGGGGCCCCCCCCCCTTTTTTTTTTCCCCCCCCCCCCCCCTCCCCCCCCCCCCCCCCGGGGGTTTTTTTTTCCCCCCCCCCCCCCCCCCAAAAAAAAAAAAATTTTTTTTTTCCCCCCTTTTTTTTTCCCCCCCCACCCCTTTTTTCCCCCCCCCCCCCCCCCCCCCTTTTTTTTTTTCCCCCCCCGGGGGGGCCCCCCCCCCACTTTTTTTTTTCCCCCCCCCCCCCCCCCTTTTTTTTTTTTTCCCCCCTTTTTTTTTTTTTTAAATTTTTTTTTTTTCCCCCTTTTTTTTTTTTTTTTGGGGGGGGCCCCCCCCCCCCCCTTTTTTTTTTTTCCCCCTTCCCCCCCCCCTTTTTTATTTTATTTCCCCCCCTTCCTTCCCCGCCCCCCCTTTTTCCCCCCCCCCCACCCCCCCCCCCCCCCCTTCCCCCCTTTTTTTTTTTTACCCCCCCCCTTTTTTCCCCAACCCCCCCCCCCCCCCCAACCCCCCCCCCCCAACCCCCCCCCCCCCCCCCCCCCGTTTCCCCTTTTTCCCACCCCCCCCCCCTTTTTAAATCCCCCCCCCCCCCTTTTTTTTTCCCCCCGTTTTCCCCCCCCACCCCCCCCCCCTTTTTTTTTTTTTCCCCCCCCCCCCCCCCCCTTCCTTCCTTTTTTCCTCCCCCCTCCCCCGTTTTTGTTTTGGCAGGAAGGCCCCCGCGGGGAAAGGGGGAGCAGACCCCGAGGGAAGGGGGGGGGGAGGGGGGCCCCCCGGGGGGGAGAGAAAGGGAAAGGCCCCCCGGGAAAGGGGGCCCCGAGGGAGGGGGCAGGGGGACGAAAAAAGGGGCCCAAATAAAACCCAGGGAGGAGAAAAAGGCAGGCTGGGCCCAAAAAAAGTTAGGAACCCCAAACCCAGGTTTTTGGGAAACAGGGGGACGAAAGAGCAGAGGCCGAAAAAAAGAAAACAGTTTGGGGAGCCGTTGCTTAAGAGAGGGGATGGCGATTTTGAAAAAAAAGGGGAAAGATGGAAAAAGTTTTGGGGCCGGGGGGAGGGGGAAAAAAAAAATGTAGGAAGAGGGGACATTTTTTTTAAAGGAGGGAAAAGGGGCCCCCTTTGGGGTTGGGGAAAAAACCGAGGGGGGGGTCCGGGGGCGCGTCCACCCCGGAAAAGCCGGAAGGAGGGTGTGTGGTGGGAGGGGGGGGCCGAAGCAGTTTTTTTAAAGGACAGGGGGGGGAAAAAAGGGAAATGAAAAATAGGGGGTTTTAGTGGACGACCCCCCCCCCGAAAAAGCCCCAAAAAAATTTCCCCAGAAGGGGGGTTTTTCTTGTGAAATCCCCACCGGGATTTGAGGGGCAGGCCCCCCCCGAAAAGCTTTTAAACAGTGTGTCAGTTAGAAGCATGAAGGCTCCCAGTATGAAGTGATTTTAACCCCTGATGTCTCGTCAGCCTCCTGTGCAGCCGTCAGGACAGTATCCACAGGATGACCCTGATTATTCAGTGTGGATGCCTCCTGCAGGTAAATCAACGGCTATCAGCCGACTGAGGCCTTAAATCATCACAGTAATCAGGCTGAACCTCGTTAAAGTCCTTCTGAGGTTTTTGTTGTAAACATGGGTGCAGCTGAGGAATGCAGATCTAGATGATCCTGAATAAATGAGTGAAACAGCTGCTAGCTTGGTCTCACTGCCTGCTCTGCTCTCACAGGTCAGACTGGAGATGGTCGCACTCACCTGAACGACAAGTACGGCTACTGATGAGGACCATCAGCTTCTGGTTACAGACTGTGACCCTGAAAATGACTCATATTGAGCCTGTGAGGAATCGCAGGGAGCGATTCACTCCTCTGTTATTCTAACCTGGGCAGGAAACAGGAGGCTCCGCCTCTCTGTTCCTGTGCCGCTCCTGCAGATCAACCCACCTGACGCCCGCTCTGCACCCGGCTCCTGGCTGGCGTCAGTCCATCCCTGGCTTTACCTTTTTCTGCTCTGCTGTAAAGGCAGTGGTGTGTGTGGCAGCAGGAGAGGGAGAGCTTCGAAGCAGCTTTTCTGACCATCTGGACACTTGGACGGCGTCCTGGATGAAACGTAAGCTGATAATGACTCAAGCTAAGTGAAGAGTGTGTTTCCATGTGCGCACGCACTCCCCCCCCCCCCCCCCTCAAAGTCCTCGTTTTAACAAGATTTCCTCAGTGAGAGCCTGGAGATTCCTTTCTCTGTGAAATCCCACTCTGTTGATTTCTGTAACTTTGAGCATGTGCCCCCCCCCCCGTTAATGTCTTTAAACTATAATAAATGGAATATCTTTTTGTAAAATAAAAATAAAAACTACATCACCTCATAGTTAGTTAGTTTTGTCAGCTGTTGGTCTCCTGTTAGAAGCTGTTATTAAAAATGAACAAAGTTATGCTTTTGTTCCCTGAATGTAACATTTCTCTAAATAGACATTTATTTTAGTTAGTTGCAGTAAAGGGATCGTTCCTGACGGTGGACTTCTACTGGTATTTCCAAGTACTTATAACTGTTGAATTATGCTTTTTTAAATTGTTTTATGTATTTTTCCATTAAATAAATACCCAGGCTGTTTATGACTGACAGGTTCATCTGGAATCTGGAAAAGTTTGGATTATTATTTAACTGTTTTTCAGGACCTGATTATCTTTGAATATTGAAGGATTTTTCTGCCAGTCATCTTAAAAGTGGCCTAGTAAATTAGCCCCGCCCACCAGCGAACTCAATCATTTTTGCCTGCAGGGGTCTAGCCTCTATCAATGCCCCAGGCTCTAGAACTGGCTGGCCAATCACAATGCAGATGTGTTTAGAAAGTGGGCGGGGTTTTGAGGGTGTGACAACTGCAGACCGCGCCATAGGCTGATCAGCTTCCCTCTCCCTGCTGATGTACAGCATCCCCACAGCATGATGCTGCCACCAACATGTGTTGATATAGAATCATAAGACTGAGGCCTATAAACTATTATATTGGTGTTATTTTCTGATCTGACCAGAGCAACTTTTTACTACAACGCCTTTAAAAAGCCAAAGACTTTAAGGCAGTAAGCGCTTTAGCAAGGTGTTTTACCACCATTCAGAAATAAAATGACATCACAAGAAGAGGCCACAGAGTATTTATTGAATTATTCTTGTGCAACAAGGGACGAAAACATGTCTCGATGTTACATTCAATTCGGCAAAGTCTTGGTTCCAGCTAGTTACATTGTGTTTGAGCTCCTTTCAGGAGACAGGAAGTACCTCAGACTTCAATATAGCAGGAATGTGATTTCAAGGCATTAAGAGATATTTAGATAGTTAGACCTGTGTTCCTTTTCTACCTAGAATGGAATGGAGGTACATTACTAGAAACAAAAAGCAAAAGTGAAATGGCGAACTACAGGAAGGCTATCCAGAAGAACGGATTAGCCAACTGTGCAGCAACCCTACAGTCATTAATGTTTCTGCAGAGTTCTGGGATTCATGCAGGAAAAGAGAAAACGAGTAACTTTGACTCAGGACTACTGATCTACAGTCATACATATTTGTTATAGCTCGACCTTACAGTACTGTGTTTGCAGCATCACATCCAGAGTAGTAGTTTCAGACGGATAAATGCGACCACCATCTCAGCTTAACAATAACAAGATAGATGATTCATCTTTTTGTTTAGATAGGAAGTTACAAAGGAAGAAACCCTGGAACCACATGATTGTCTAACATGCATCATTCCCCTCAGAGCGATCCAAACAGGCTTCCTGCTCCGTGTTTGTCTAATGATCCTGAATTATACGTAGAGAGCTCTGCTAGACGGTGTCCTGATTCCAGCAGGGGTCAAAGTGATGGGGACAGATTACCTGAGAGTGCAACAGTTCAACCTGTAAACAAAAACACCTTCCAGAGCTCGCTCCGTTAACAGAAGCCGCAGAATGAAAAGAAAATGGGAAGAAAAAAAAGCTAAATGCGAGGAGGTGTGGCTGGAGTCTGGTTTGGACGGTTTCTGCTTAAGAGCATGGAGGGTCTTCAGACGGAGTCAAGGATCTACAGGGGGGCGCTGTGCTCATGGAGCGGAAGGCCAAGATGGAGGGGTCATAGGAGTACCTGGGCGGAGGACGACCGCCGGTTAGATTCTAGGGACAGAAAGAAAAAAGATCATTTAACAAACAATAGAAACAACAATACTCCTCTGGACTAAAACCAAAACATTAAACACTTTTGGACGTTTTATCTTCCCTCATGGAGCAAATCCAGGCTGCAGTTCTACTTTTCCACTTGTAAGCCCCCCCCACCACCTTTGGCTTCTAAATTTAGCCCGAGTCATTTTCTTCCCCACAGGAAACGGCAGGAAATGACTTTGTTGGATTTGGCAGTGAGGCAGCACTTTGTGCAGGGCTGCAGAGGACGATTCCTCACAGAACCTGAAAACTGAGACGGATGCGCGGCTGGAGCCCAACGCTGTCTCACTGTTAGGGAGGGAGCAAACATCTGCAGGGATCCAGCTGCTGGAACGCAGCATCATTCCCCAAACCAGTCAATCAAACAGTGAGATGTTAAAATAATCTTTCTCCGCTGGAGGCTACAGGTCAGCCAAACTACAGCGAGCTAATCCGGATAAATAAAAAATCAACAGCAGTAGATGGACTAAGTTAACTATCAATCATTTCACACATCCTTTAATTCAGGCTTCAATAGAGAGCCAAACCTTCAGCAGATAATAGGAAGGCTCAAAGGAGAACAGAGGAATTATTTGGGTTTAGCTCTGTGAGGCCGCTCAGTGATGCAGTGGTTAGCGCTTCGGCCTTGCAGCATGAAGGTTCTAGGTTTGATTCCCGTACATTTCTCCCTGTACATGCGTGGGTTCTCTCTGGGTACTCTGGTTTCCTCCCAGTCCAGGATCATGACTGTTAGGCTAATTAGCTTCTCTGAGTCCTCATGAGGAGGGCGGTAATAACTTCTCACAGTGGAGAAATCTACCTCTGCATTTAATCGCCGTTGTGCGACAGATTGGCGACCTGTCCGGGTGGAGCCTGCCTCTCCTGCTGGAGACAGACACCTCGCCTCCCCGCTGGGATAAAGCGTGACAGAAAACGGATGGTTGAATACTTATGTAAATATAAAATATGACTGCTACATGACATTAGATAACAACATAAATAATTCCTTTATTAGCTTCTGAGATGGGGCGTGTTCAGGGTGGTAAGCCAGTAATGATGACCAATCACAGCAGAGAGACTACAAATATTTTCAACGCTCTTGTTGAATCTTATTTTATGAATTTTTCCTAAATCGGCCAAAACCTGAAGATGGCGGCCGCCTTCATTTCCTGCTGAGGTCAGCTTCAGATAGAACAAAAGGAAACTTGTTTCCATCAGTTTTATTTTCCTCTGCTTTATGTTTAACAGCCCTAATAGTTTTAGAAAGACTTCATCTCATGAGCTAAAGACTCACTTTGATTAAAAACACTTCTAGGATCATGTCCATCCAGGTTTAAGTGCAGGTATGAATGTTTCTCTCTTAGTCATTCTATCAGCACTCAGGTATTTAAAGCAGGATATAAAATAATTTCTGAACTTTGAACATTAAGCAGCATCATTTAACCAAATATCTACAGTGATCAGCGAAGCAGCAGAACGCCAGGCGTTCAGGAAATCTGGACGTTCTGGGGGAGGAGTCTCAGTCATCAAAGTTTATTTTACTTTACAAACCGCTGCACAGAAAGATAAAAACAATAAAAACAATCCTAAGCATAAAACTGTTCAAGTATTAAAAGCCAGTTTGATAAAAATGAGTCAACAGGTTTGATCTCATCAATAATCTTCTGACGTCTCATTAAACAGAGCCAGAATAAATTACACCTGTAATATAAGGCGTTACAAACAAATGCCCGCCGCACACTTCAGATTTTATTTATAAAACTTCTGTAAGCCGCAAATGTCTGTTTTATTAACCATTCGCTCCTTCATTCTGTTCGTTTGTGTTTGTAACGTGACACGATATGCAAACATCTTTAAAACATTATTACTCTTAGAAGGAACTCTAGTTATGCTGCTGAGAAAAACACATTTATTGAAAGTATTTGAACTTTGTTTTTTTCCTCACAGATAGAGAGAAATCTAAGGTGAAAAGCTTGTAGTTAACCTCAGTCTAAAGTAAACTAACGCTATGCAGAAGTTTCCTCTTATCCAATCAAGCATAACCGCATCATTTCCTTCTGTTGCTCCTCATGGCGGCTGATGATACCAGACGCCGTCATCTCGGCCTCCGACACGCCGCCTTGTTCATCTCCATCCTTCCAGGGAAAACAAAGGTCAGAAGCAGCTTTCCAACGGACCCCCTCCTCTTCATACACATCGCTGCCGACCTCCGACCCCTGCATCTACTCTCATGCTTGAGTTGCTTGGACCGTAGGGCCCCATGAAGCGTCTCTTCTGGTTGGCAGTCAGGAAATGGAGGGTTTGCAGATAAAAGGGGAGGGAAAGAAACGAGTTCTGCTCTCTGTCATAAAGACCTGCTGGAAGCTGGATCGGACCTGCAGACGTCACCGACGTGGACGACACAACCAGCAAGCAAGAGCGGAGAATAATGAGCAATACTGGCGTGTTCCAGCGCAGCTAAACAGATTGCAGCCGGCCAAGGCTATAAATGGAAAATGACTCCATCCCTGGAAAAACACCGCAAGGGAACCGCACGCACTCCACCTCCTCTTCCTCCTCCTCTACCTCTCACCGCCACTCACTCACTGATCCTCCTCGCCTTCCATCTAACACAGAGCTGGTGTGTGTCGACATAAACAAGAGTGTGATAAGGCTCCAGCCACACTATCCCACACAATGTGATAATGACGTCACTTCTCTCAGCACACTGTGCATCCTTCTGGAGGGCTCGCTCCGAGCCACAGGACCCGCCTCCTTCCACTCAAGCTTCCCTCAATCAAAAACAACAAAAATACTATTTAGCTGCTCCTCAAAAACTGCTTTCATGGCTTTTTAACGAAGGGCTGCTGGGTGCTTATTGTGGCTGGATGTGATGAAAAAGCGTTGAGCTGATGGTGCCATCAGGTGTTCTGCAGCCAGGAGGACAAACATGGCGGCCAGATGCCGTCCCAGCGTGCAGTTGGATGGAGATGAAGGAGCTGGCCACAGGCTCGGCCGTTCACAGAGAGCAACCGTCTCTGCAATGAAAACCCTGAACCTCAACATGCTGCAACAGAGAAACTTTCCTCTGAACCTTCAGATTCTTTACGTTCAAAGATAAAAACGATCAATGGCGTAAATATCGGTAAGCAGAGACAGCTTAGAGGCCCCCGACCTCTTAGGGGCCCCGTCACTGACACCTGGTTGGCCCCCTACGCAATCATGGACTAGGACGTCTCTTTGCAGATGTAACGGTACGAAACGTTCCTCTTAAACCCACCTGATCCAAACCGTATTTGTACCGCGACACACGTCAGATTTCACTATGATGGTGAACCATTTAAACACGACACCAACAGCAAAGCAGACACTTTTAATTACTCTGCTAGTAACTGTGTATAGTTCAATTAGACGGTTGGTAAAAAAATACACTGATATAATATGTTTCAAACCACAATAAAGATCTTAAAAGAACAATTTATTTGAGTACCGTTCCGTAGAATGTGTTAGCGACGACGGATACCAAAGAGGTGCTTAAGGCAATTTTAGAAAAGAAAAAGGAAAGAGCTGCTGGAAGAACTGAAAAAACTTCCCAAAATAAATATGATGGACAGTTTATATCTGGTGAAAAAGCAGCTTTGTGAATATAAAGTGGAACTTTAACAACCTAAAACGCCCGCTATATAAAATAAAACATATTTGCCTTTGCTGCTAAATAATAATACCGTATTGAAAATTGGTTTCAATACATTTTTAACAAGATGCTGGTGAAGATTCTCCATCATCCAGATCACAGTCGTTACAAAAAAAGTCTTTTAAAAAAGTCCTGGACTGTTTTTCCTAGTTTGAAGACGTTTCTCTTCCCATCCAGGAAGCTTTTTCAGTTCAATAATTTGTTTTTGTTTTCTAAACTAAAACCAGGCTTTGTTGGGCTGCTGGATAAAACCTGGAACTAAACGCTATTTCTGACATTTGGAATAGAAAAATCTTCCTGGATGGAAGAGAAACGTCTTCAAACTTGGAAACAAAGTCCAGAGGATTGATTTTAACTTTTTTTTGGAATTTTAAACAAGACATTTATTGTTATTTTGAAACACAGCAAAACTAGACGGCAGTTAAATGTAGCTACCCTACTGTTCATAGAGCTAAAGTAAAAGAAGTAGTATAGCTGGGCTACCTGCTCATAAAGGCTACGTTCACACCGCAGGCCTTGATGCTCAATTCCAATTTATTTTTGTGAAATCCGATTTTTTTTTTGCGTTGCCGTTCACGTTTCCAAATATATGCGACTTGTATGTGATGGTCTGTGTGAACCGCAGTCATACAGCTTAGTGTCCTGCAAGCGCAGTAGAGGACGCGATGACGTCACAGGCCAGCGTGTTTCGTGTTTACAGAAGTAAACATGGATAGTAGTGACGGAGTGCATCCAGCGATCTTTTCCAACCATAAAACCTCCATCTTTTCAAGATGGTTAAACCTAAATACTGCTCTCCGCATCATCGTCCGCCATGGTTGTTGTTTTTCTTGCTGCTTCTGTGTAGCAAGAAGCAGAATGGTGACCTATGTCGGTTACTAATGGCGATCAGGTGGGATGACCTGATGGTTCACATACAGGTGGGATTGGAAAAGATCAGATCGGTATCAGATTCAGGATCACACATCCAAGTAGCCTGGGTTGGAATCGGATCTTTGGCCTCTCTGCTGGGCCGCTGACAGGACCTGGACCTGGCTAATGTAGTTAAACAATTTCACAAAGATCTGGAGTCGGTGGGTCACATGACCTGGAAGCTATTGAAGAAAATTCCCAATTTTCATCTTTAAAAATATCTTAAAAATTGAAAATAGCTTAAAATTGCATAAAAGCAAGTGTGTCTTACATACGTCATCAATTGGCATGATTTTATAATAGTTTGGTCTTAGTTGGTCAGAAGATGAGGAATTTATTGATTTTTGTTTCTAAAGAGTGCTTGGTTCAAAGATTCGTTGATGGTCCCTAAATGCACCACGGCGTGTGGGTGGAGGCAGCAGCTGAGAGACGCTGGCCGCCATCAGAGTCCCTCAGTCGGATCAACCGTTTGCTGGATCGCGCTGACTCAGCGGAGCTGGAATATCCAATATCCAACTTCAAACCAACTTCACCGCGGTGCTGACGGCTCGGTTCTGTTGCTCTGTAGTGACCAGAATCCCGAACGATTTTGAAATTCCCCCCCGGATATTTTTTAGGTCTGAAAGTAGGACATGTTCAGGAAAAAGAGGAGGTCTGGTCAGTCTACCTGAACGGGCCACCCAGCAGGAACTTTTCCTCCTCCCCTCTGTGTCCCTATGACCCTGAGACTCTTTCAGGCAGTGAGCAGCAACAGGTGGTGGAGGGGCAGGAGTAGGGATGGGAATCGAAAACCGGTTCCTGTTAAGAACCGGTTCCGTATTTTCCGATTCCATGGCATCGTTTGGCAGCTCACTGAACGATTCTTTTTTCGATTCCCGCAGCACCAGAGCCTAGAGCGCCGGCTCTGGGGAGCACGACTTACGTCACGTTTTTACGCAAGTTGGAAGAACTATTCGAGGAGGAAGACAACGAGCTGCGGTCACTTTGTGAATCAAAGCCCCGTCTTTCCTTAGCCCAGAGGGTAGATCAGGAAATCCAGCTCTATAAAAGCTTGCCCTCCATCCCCTGCAGGGATAGCGCCACACTGTGGTGGTGGAACAAGCAAGATACGCTGCCCTTGCTATCTGGACTGGCTGAAAACTACCTCTGTGTGCAGGCTTCCTCCACCCCATCTGAGAGGGTGTTCTCCACGGCTGGAGACACCATAAGCCCTGAAAGATCCCGTATCCTTCCAGAAAAAGCAGATATGCTCATCTTTCTGCAAAATAACTGTTAATTTTCCCTCACTGCAAAAACGATCTGAAATTAAGTAAAAATATCTTAAATCAAGTGTATTTACCCTTAATTTGAGCAGGTAAATAAGACAGTTTGCCAATGGAATGAGTATTTTTACATTTAAAATAAGATAATTAGATAATATGCACTTGAAATAAGACAATGCAATAGTTTTTTTCTTATTTCAAATGTAAATTGTCTTGTTCCATTGGCAAAATGTGTCACTTACTTACTCAATTCAAGAAAAAATGAACTTATTTTAAGAACAAATGACTTATTTAGATTTACATTTTTTGCAGTGCTACTACTGTTTTATAATTAGTATTTTTTGTTATTTAAAATAGGTTATTATCCCATCATTTGTTATTAGACATTGTTGGTTATTAAGTTTGTTCTTGTATATTTATTTTTCATTTAAACACAGATGTTACTCCAGTTTCACATTTCCTGTGGACATCTTGATCTTGTTGAGTTTGTAAGATTGTGCAATAGTTAAGTAAACAAAGTTGATGCTGATAATCAAACTGTTTGTTCTCCTTTTTCCCCCAAATTGGAATCGAAAAAAGAATCGATAAAGAATCGAATCGTTTCATAGAATCGAAAAGGGAATCGGAATCGTGAAAATCTTTTCAATTCCCAACCCTAGGCAGGAGTGCATTATAGTCAGTTCAACTGGCCTTAAAAGTTGGAGCTTTTTCCAGCACTAGTGGTTCATTTTTTCAACAGTGGGCTGGCAGGAGGGTGGGAATGAGGGAGGGGGGGGGGACATGCAGCAAGGGGCCACTGGTCGGATTCGAACCCGGGTCGGCCGCGTCGCGGACTAAGGCCTCTCTGCATGGGCTGTGCACGCTAACCGCTGCGCCTAATGGAACAATTCAGGGATTTATTTGAGCTTTTTTTCTGCTTTTTACTTGAAAGCACAGCTGATGGTAACCAAGGGAAATATTTGTTAGGAGCGTAAATAAATACTTCTAGTTGGAAGCAAACAAAAAGAAGGAACTCACCCGAATCTTCATCGTCCGTGTTTTTCCTCCACAGTTCTTTTTCAGCAGCATTTTCTGTGGAGAACAGAACGGATTATTTATACATCTATAAAACCAACTTTACCATTGAACCATTCAGAGTGCAGAAACACTTCATAACATATGAGGATGAATCAGATTGAGGATGATGATGATGATGGAAGTGCTTCAAACCAGCTGTCTGACTAAAACTAAACAGTCAAAGCTTATGCAATATCCTGTCTCCCACTGCCCTCCATGTCCACGCAGCTTCGCCATTCTTAGGGAAAAGACAAAAACACAGTGGGGGTGGAGGGACCACACAATCATTAGATTGTCTGAAGTTTGGAGAGGCAGCTTCCAAGGGCTGCAGCAAAGAATGGAAACACAAGACAGAGAGCTGCCGTCCACTTGGCCTCATCCTCACCTCCTGCCAACCCTCATCTTCTCTGTATCCGTGACACAACCGCCGGCCGATGGTTTGAAACCTGAATGGAGAACAGATACAACTCCCCCTGCAAAACTTTAAACTACTTTTACAGAGACAAACTGGATGAAGAGGTGAAATAAGAGCTGGGTTAATTATCGGCACAAACCGTTACAGTAATGCCAACATCCTGCAGCTGGGAAACCATCTTCTGCTGCATGTATATTCCTCATCTGTCCCAACTTGTCAGAGGATGATTGTTTCTTTAGATAATAAACATCAACCACACAACCTTTTTTATTTCAGGATTTTAAAGATTCTATACAGTTAGAATCTATGAAAAAACTGTTTTCTGTTTTCTTTACACTTCAAAACCACATAAATGTCCCCCTTTAAAACATATTAACGGCAGAGTCATGCTGGGGGCGATGCTTTTATTTAACAGGAACAAAAACTGGTTGGAATAGACAGGCTGATGAATGAAGTGACTGTTAAAGTGAAGGTGAAGGTTTGTCTTCTAGCAGAATGAAAACCTTAAACCAGAGGTTGCTGATTAGCGGACCGCGGTCCGGATACAGACCCACCTGCAGGCTAATCCGGACCTAACCGGATTTAAAACATTTATAAATGATGTTCTCCGACATCAGTGTCTAATTTCACTTGCACCACTTCTCCTGTTTGTACGGTAAAGCCCTCCAGAGCGTTCGACACCAGGCTAAACGTGATACAAATGAGCCATTGAGCTGTAAGTCTGGGTCGCTGCTGTGAGCCACTTTTATGCTACGTTCACACCTAAAGCAGCAGGAGCAGCTAAAATGTGTGCGCTGCTTCATTTCTGATGCTTGCACCTGATGCAGTTTAGTTCTGACGCGCGGCGGAAGCATCTTTGCTGCTCTAGCTGCACGGTGATAAAGTGGGTCTGATGCGCGGTGGGCAGAGCTACCCTATCCTTTCTCTGCCTGGAACAATGGCGGCTATATTAGCTGTGATCAGCGGGTAGAAAGTAGTTAGAATCTATGTTGAAGTGAGAAAGTCCTCCTGAAAACATGGTCTGTGCAGTCAGTTCATCCAGATTACCATCCTGCCTTCAAAGATTATTTCTCTGTGGGAGCCGCTCAGACCCCCACATACCGGCGCTGCGCTGTCACTGGGAATCCCCAGCAGCAGCTGCCTCAGGCCCGGGAGCCTCTTGGCGGTTTGCCGCGGCTGCTTAAAGGCGTTTTTCCTGTCCGTAATCCAAACTGCAGGCAGCAGGATAATAAAAGCCAACATATTCTGCCGGCAGGTTTCAGCATTTTAAGTTAATGTAGGCGTTAATAAACTGTTTCAGAGGAGTGATCATAGCGCTCTGCATCAGCAGCGCTGCGTCTGACTCCCTGCCCGCTCCCAGATCAGCTTCTCTGATTGGTTGATGCGGCGCGTCCAGCAGCTAAAGGTAAATATTTCCAACTCCAGCAGCTGCTGCGTTTGCAGTGCGTCAGATGCTAAGAAGCAAACAACGCGCTGCTTCAGCTGCTCAGACGCGCTGCGGGACGTTTTGCTACACCTTCAACCATTGACTTTGCATGTAAACTAGCTAGTCCTGCTGCCTCTGCTGCTTTAGGTCTGAACGTAGCATTAGACACAGCAGGAAAACCCTTTTTTATATGATTTTTAACATGGATGCATAAACACCTCATTTTATTTCTGTGTTAAATTCTGTTAAAAGTAACAGATTATAAATAAAAATGTCTCCGGACCTTAACTGGTTGATGATTTCCTTTTATTCGGTTATCCCTGCCCTAATCACTCAGCAACAATGTGAGCTGTAGCCGAGCTGCATCCTGCAGGCAAACTGTTGCTCTTCCCCAGATAATTACACGACCAAATGACTCGACCTCATCTGCGACGTGAATTATGGACAGATTAGCAGGAACTTAAAAAAAAACAAATAGCAGCTCGCTGACCTTTTAACCTCCATTTCAATGAAACGATGATCAGGTAAGTGCAGCATTTTGTGTCAGCCTGGAGTCTCTGTAGTACTGCTGTTATACTCTTCAGTCGCATTCTTGTTCATTCCAATGATTTTCACATCCTTTACTGACATTTTTTTGACTGTTCTTCAGTTTTTCAACCAGGACTTTTGCTGCAAAGGGTTAATTGGGGAAACTCCGGCTGCGTCTGCTTGCTACCTCTGCAGGCCCCCTTTTGTATCCCCTGCAGCACCTCCCATTCCACTTGACTAAGCGTGCACGCTCTCACAGACACACTGATGCAGCCGAGGAGCAGGATGTGCACAGGCTGGCTGGCTGATCGATGCACACATACACACATCGCTCCATTATGGCCGCTATGTTCCATCATCTGCTCTTTCCTTCTTATAAAACACCCAAAAAAAAACTTCATGGCCATATGGAGCTCTGACCCCCCCTTCATTTATAGTGTGAGCCAACAGGTCTATTGGATTTTAATGATTAGTGGACACCGGCTTCTCCATGACTCTTTAACGGCTGTCGTTTTTCTCTTGTCTATCTAATCCTCTCCTTCTGCCTCCCACCCCTTCGCCGTTTCCCCAACCTCACCAGCCTTTGTGAGAAATGAGGGCGGACATCTGCCGTCCGTCCCTCCCTCTCCTTCATCCCGCTCCAGAAGGACCACCGAAGTGGAGAGCGTCCGGCTACAGATACGGACGGCTTTCTTTGCATCTGTGCTGCCCTGCACGCTTCTGAGCTCTAACATCGTTACTTCAAAGTTTCCTTTGGTGTCTCAGAACATTTTAAGATTCTTCATGCATGTCGCTTTGGTATACCGAGGAACAACCCAAATATTTGAATGTTTAATGTGTAATTAAATCAAACTCCTGACCTTTTGTTCTTCATGTCTTCTGTAATTTGGATACGCTAGATATCAGCTTTCTTCTCTCAGTAGTAGTGGATTTCAGCTGACTAGATTCTGTTTATTAAGCTGCTTCTAGAATCTGAAGGGGATTCTCACTATATTACCAACTAACACATGACATATTTCCAACTGCCCCAAACAATGAAATAAAGATTAATTGCAATAAATAAAGTTTTCTGTTGTCCATTCTTCAACCAATTCAAGTCTGTCTGATCTTTCTCACTGCTGAGCCGGTTCTAAACATGCAATGTGGTTCTCTGTGATGTTTTAAAGTGCTTTTTGAATAAAGTTGGATTGGATGCTATGCTGTTTGCAGGATCTAAAACAAAAACCCATCAAGTTCCATTTGGTGAGTAAATGTGCCAGAAACAACTGGTAAACGTGTGACAGGAGGTGGGAAACTAACCTGTTGCATTTTTTCCAGGTCCAGACTGGGTCTTCCAGGCTCGCCGCTGTAGCTGTGCCGATACTTTCTATAAGGTGCAGATTGGTCAAAGTGGGTGAGAATGATGGGCCCTGTGATGGGCTGAGCCACCTGCAGCTGAAACCTCATGGGGGGCGGCTTCAGGTTGCGCGGCGGGCTGGAGCTGAACAGGACTGGGCTGGGAGAAGCCGCCAGGCAGGTGGCGCCGGGTTCAGCCAGAGGTCTTGTAGAGCCGGGGGGCGACCGGCAGCCGCAGAGGTCTCGCACTTCTTCATCGCTGGAGGCGCTGCTGTGATGGTCGCTGTGGCGCTGAGGGAAGGCCGACACCCACTTCCTGTTGTCGCCGCAGCTGATCCGCTCCAGCTCTTCCTCTGATGAGTGACGCTCCAGATTGGCATCTAGGAGGAGGCGGAGGCGTCGTAACCTCGCTGGAGAGACGGGACCCTGGTTGTGCTGCTGGCTGGTAGCCAAAGGGGTGAGGGCGCAATTTCTCCGTCTCTCTGAAGATGTTAACATAGAAAAATAAGCACATAGAATCCCAATTTGATAGAAATATAAAAACAAAAAACATCTACAGAAATTTAATAAAAAATATACTAGATATTATTTGTATCATTATTTGTGAGAATATTAATGTGAACGGCCCATGTACCTCTGTCAATCTGTGCAAGCTCCTGGTTCTCGCCTTCTGAGTCATCGCTCTCTACTCCCTCTCCACTGCCATGATAAGAAATCTGGAAAAATAAGATTCAGGTTGTTATGAATGCCAGAAAAGGAAGGGGGGGTGACTAAAACTGAGCCTTCCAAAAAATCAGCATAACTGGACCAATCAAATCATCTCATGGTTTCCACCGTCTCCCATTCTGCTTAGAAAGCTGCTGAAAAAGGACAAATAAGCCATCATTTCAACAACACGACACAAGCAACCAGGAAGTCCCTTCAA